CGGAACTGATCTGTCCAACCAGTTCTTTGATAGGAACTGATCTGTTCAACCAGTTCTTTGAAAATGGTCACAACAGTCAGTTTTTGAAAAAGAATCGGACGCTTAATCCAGTTCTTTGAAAAAGAACTGGTTACAATAGCCAGTTCTCGAAAAAGAACTGCCGGGTGTGTACAGTTCTTAAAAAAAGAACTGCCGGGTGTACACAGTTCTCGTCAAAGAACTGGTCACTTCAACCAGTTCTGGAAAAAGAACTGGTCGCTATACCCAGTTCTTAGAAAATATACAGTTCATAGAACTGGGAACTGTCCTAGGTCTACATATCACCATATATCTTGAGTGCAGTTGTGATTTGATGTGCCGCAATGTTCTAAGAATAACTTTGTGCAGAGACACAGACACAGACACACCCACTCAATGTCAAGAATAGCTTATTTTGCGAAAATAACCATATTATAAAGTTACAGAAAACGCTTTTAAAGTCGAGTAATCGAATGTGAGCGTTAGCTATTGAAAATTTTCAAGTTTGTGCATTCATTTAGGCAGGTTTATTCTGATACCATCAAGTTACTTTATTAACTTCTACTTAGGGTATACCAAAAGTTCTGATCACAGTTTTTAAAATTTAATAAAGCAATAAATATTGAATATTTTACTAACGCGATATATAGTGTAACGTCTCGTCTTTAATAATATATAGAGCAACTCTCTCTTAGACTTAGTTCTAACATCCTTTCAGACTAAATCTATAATTTTACAGACAATGCAAATATTATTAATTCTTGTTCAATGGTCAGGTACATTCTGGAACTTTCTATTGGTCACTCTCTCGTCACGTTTTATGACGTCATGTTCTAGAATATTACATTTCGATAGTATATATAAATGAGAGGTCGTTTGCTGTTAGTTCATTTGTACCGTACTCGACTTAAAATCGTAATAGAATTTGATTTCAATCTTAAAAGAAGACATTAAACATGACTGATGAATTCAATCGATATTATATCAAAATTCGAGCTATTTTGGGGATAGATTCAAAAACAATCTTTGACGAACTTACAGAGGCATTGGGACCTGATGCTCCATCATATCCAACAGTCAGAAGATGGGCGAAACGTTTTCGTGAAGGAAGAGACGATGTCACTGATGATCCTCGATCTGGTCGTCCGATTTCGGTACTTACAGATGAAAATGTTGAACGCGTTCGACAAGTTATCGAAGATGATCCACACTCAACTTATGATGATATTATGGGTGAGACTGATCTATCACGTGGTACAATAGAACGAATTATTCATGATCGTCTAAAGATGAGAAAAGTTACATCACGTTGGGTTCCTCATCAACTTACTGACGAACAAAAACAAAAACGACTTAGAATTTGTCGTCAAAATTTAGAGAAATTTAGAAATGGAACATGGCATTTATGTGATGTTATTACTGGTGATGAGACATGGATTTATCACAGGCAGATTGGTCGAAAGTCAAGCAATGCTACTTGGGTTGGCGAAAATGAACTACCAAGAACCATTTTTCGTCGGAATAGATTTGAACCTAGAACACTATTTTGCTTCTTCTTCAAATCCACTGGTTCTCTTCTCATACACAAAGTAGATAAGGGCAAGACAATCGATCATGACTACTATATTGATAATTGTCTTATACCTGTTATCAATGAAATAAGAAAAAAGGAAAAGTCATCACGTACTACATATAAAATGCTTCATGATAATGGTCCTCCTCATACTCATCCAGATGTTATTGATTATTTAATGGAGGAAGGAATCGAAATCATTCCACATCCACCATATTCACCAGATCTCGCACCGTGTGACTTTTGGCTAAATAATTATATCAAGAACAAGTTGACGGATCACACAAACGAAGAATCATTAGCTCAAGAGGTTTCCACCATAGTGAAGAATATTCCAATAAACGAGTTTAAAAAGACTTTCGATAAACTGTTAGAAAGAATGAAACTTTGTATCGAAAATAATGGTGATTATTTTGAGCATTTAATAAAATAAAATAACGAATGTCTCTTCGTTTCTGTATTGTGGTTTTATGTTGGCATGATCTTTTCTTGGCTATAAATACTATAGATTTAGTCTGAAAGGATGTTAGAACTAAGTCTAAGAGAGAGTTGCTCTATATATTATTAAAGACGAGACGTTATACTATATATTGCCTTAGTAAAATATTCAATATTTATTGCTTTATTAAATTTTAAAAACTGTGATCAGAACTTTTGGTATACCCTAAGTATGACAGAAAAAATTTACTTTAAAAAGGTTTGAAAACGAATCTATAAATTCGGACTGCTTAAAAATATTCGTCATTGATCAAGTAGTTTGGAAAAGCGTTGCTATCTCAAGATTAACCTCCATCACAAGTGAATGGATTTATCCGAAAAAATCGACAGCAGCTAATGTCCGCATTTATTTCCGCGATCCTGAAAACTATTGGTTAAAACTATAAAATAGCGTTACTTTCTCAAAATAGATCTCTCTAATAGGCACATGAGGTTCGAAACTTTCGAATCTGAAGATCATTTAATGAACACTGTGATTAACACTTCAAAAGTACGAGATCCTTTTTGCTATAATTTGTTAAATAACTCACACACTCCAGGCATTTTTCTGGCAATTTTTATGGTGATCTCATATGAGCTTTGTTCAGAGTACTAGATCCTGTGTGTTTGCAGAATTTCGATCCATGTTTGTGAAGCTAAGAAGATCTCTCAAGTGATAGGAGTGCTACAGCTCGGATTTCATGACATGAAAACTTTTATTCGCGTTGAAATAGAAATAAGATATGTCTTCAATCAATCTTGAGATCATTGCAAGAGAATATAGACGAATCAATACGAGTTTCGAGGACAAAACTCGATGGCAGATGGACAAAACAACCCCACATTCTTGGTAACAATCACTTTTTTTACGTTGATCTCTGCTATGGCGATTCACCGATTTGGCAGTTTGCATCATCTTGAGCGAAATAAAAGTTCCAAACATTAAAATCACTATTCCTGGAACATATTGAAGGCTGACGAAAAAATATGCGAATAATTCTAAAAAATTTATAGCATCTGAGGACATGAATTTCTGTGACGTAGTTAGCATGAGATGATCGAACACATCGATTTGGTGCATCATACTTCATAAAGATACAAGAAAACTCACAACTGACTACTTGAAAGGTGTTTCGCATGGCAATAAAGCGACTTTTAGGCTCTTAAGTTGTAGTCAAAATCAATGAAAACGTCAAACGATTGTTGCACCACTACTATGATGATTACGACACCAATATTAGCAGTCAAGGGCTCGATTTGGTTATTATAAGATCAAAATCAGGAAGAATGACTTATGCTAATGTATAGATTGGTCCTAACTGGTCTGATAGTTGATAGCAGTACATGTAATGGTAAGAAAAAACTCTACTGGTTTTAACTTTGGTAAACAGACGAAAGACTTTCGCAGCACTTTATCGATGGAATTTTCTGGATCAATTTCACTGTAAATATTTTGTATGATAAAATCAATGAAAAATTCTCACCAAAAACGTTGCTCAATTTTAGAAGGATGATTTTTCTCTCAGTGAAGGATATAGCAATGCTAACAAGTCAAGAATATCTTTTGAATCATATATGGCTTAGTATCGAGTTGTCTCTACTACGCTGAAATATATACACATTTCGTGTTCCAGACTGAGGAAATCCACAAAGGCTCAAGCATCCAATATTCTTTAAATATTAGGTTTCCCTAAGCTACGTGTTATGAGCGACATAGTAACGTGATGGTATGACAACAGAACGGAGCAAAAGAACAATCTTCCTTCGCAAGCCATCGAACATGCCTCTTCTGCTTTTCAGGCAGCTATATTATTCCTATACTAGAAAGAAGTGTTGATTATCCTTTTTATTCCGTCTTATAACCGAAGGGCAACACTTCAGCTATAATACTAAGTTCTCAAAACTGAAAAACGGAAATATAAAGGATGTTTCATAGGTACGACCCCATTTTTATTCTTTGTGTACCTTAGCTATATTCAAAGGTGGAGACGCATTGGATAGATATATTTGAAGAATAACATCTAAGCTATTATTCAACAGAAATGACACTCAATTTGCATTAGCTGTAAGAAAGTGCCGCATTGGTAAAAGTATTGAAAACATTTTATCAAAGTTGCATCTTTACTTTTTTTCTGTATAAAATTACTCGTGCAGCGTTCTTGAATATTGTTAAAGCATGCACAGAAGGTGATGATCTAAGATGAATAAAAGAGAATGTTTTGCTTCTTCTAGTGTGATTGGCTTTGAACATCTGCCCGGATAGCAGAGGGTGCGTGGTTCGATGTCCACAAAGGAGACATCTTTCTCGTTGTGCTACTATAACATCTCCTCCTTTTGATCGGTTATCTAACTAATATCGCTCGCAATCGTTGATGCTCTGTCTTGGTCTTTTACAAAAGATAGTCTGTGCAATTCTATACAAAGTGTAAGAAATACAGCTCTTCACAAGGGTAATTAAAAACCATGTCTACTTAACAGTACTAAACTCCAAAAGGATCTATTGTCACAGACAAGTTTTTTACAAAAACAATGTTTTCACTTTTTCTAGTTGACCAGATTTCAGAGTTGGTAAAGTTATTCTTGTGGAAAGATGTTTTTCTTGAACTTCGTAGAACATTGCACAGACTATTTGCTATAAAATACTCAGGTCAAAGCATCAAAAACTGAACGAGATATTCAAAAACACTTAGTTGATTATTCTATGTAGACAGAAATAGTAAAAAATAATTTTAATAAATTTATTTAAATATTATTACCAAAGTGGCACTTTCTTACCGTAGACGCAAATTGAGTGTAATTTCTGTTGAATAATAGTTTAGATGTTACTTTTCAAGCATATCTATATTCAATACCTCTCATCTTTGGATACAGCAAGGATATTAAAAAAATGGGCTCATTTCTTATGAAACACCCTTTATGTGCCCACGCATACCAAAATCTATAAAATAGAAAACTTCTTACCTTTTGTTGTTGTTGTAGTTGTAGTGCTTGTAGTAACGAATGGTGGAAAATCACTGGTTTTCTCGCAAGGAAATAAACTGAGTTCAATGGAGCGTCCGTCAGGCAATGCTACTGTCATTTTAATACCTGGAACACCTTTATTAAGACGAGCTTTAATGTAATTGGCAAATTTGTCTTTGCAAGACTTGGATCTACCACACTTTTGCTCTGGAATTATACGTATTGAGAATTGCACATATGAGCGAGCAGAGCCGAACTGATTACAGCTTGGTCTGAAACAGAGTTACATAAGTGTAGCAAAAGCATACATCTTAAAAAAAAGCACATAAAGTGTATACGTACAGCTCACGACGACGACGACCACTAGCAGTATTTGTTCCAATACCATTGATCACAACCTTGCTGATTCTGATTGAGCCGCTTGGCAAATCATAGGCAGCTTCTATCTAGAATTTCCTTCGATTTCATTAGCTAAGATATACATGATAAATTATGGAAATACGATTACTTGTCGAGCTATTTCATCAAGATTGGTGGCCGTCGTACTCTCGCCATTGTTTATTAGTGAGTTTGAGAGAAAAACTTGCGTTATATCATCAGATTCTACAATATTCAACGAATGATCAAAATTGGTAATCGTTTCTCATAGCATATTTGCAAAAAACCCATGTCATTGTATGAAAAAGTAACTTGAAGATAATTGACGTAGAAAAGAAATTGATTTTCGAATGTTAAATAACATTTAATAAAAGGAAACTCTTCTGAAACTCTCTCTCTGTCATTTTCATCCTAGATAACATGTGCTAAAGGTCATTTCTACAAGTCGATGTTTTTTTTGCCAGAGTTTAGTAAACCTTAAGTTTGTAAATCTGTGCGTCTGCGAACACTAACTACAGTTACAATCGATGTCCACTCTAATACTATGTTCTTGCCGAGTTTTTTTTTACTATACTAGTGCTCTAAAATATTCACCGTTCCATAGAAAACGTCAGGAAAAACCAGACACACCACTGGTCTCTATTGTTCAGTTCTTTGGTTTTCGACTATAGTAAAAAAAAAAATTTTTGAATTCTATTGTAAATTTGGCATGCGGTAGCCGCATTTCTCTGAATTTTTATGTTGAAGATTAGAACTTTGTTTTTTCGGATCCTCAGATATTATCAGGTGACTACTCAGTAGTCTAAAACTCATCGACATGAGAATTTGCATCCATCTTTCATCCAGAAATAACTACATCCTGAAGGTCCCAATGTTAAGGATGTGGGTGTGGATGAACTGAGGACCCACACCCACACTCTCAATAGATATCGTCAGATTGGATAGATGCTTTCAAATATTGTCGAGACAAGAGTTTCACGTATGTTTACGCAAACTAATTAGGAACAACACACCGCTGCGCCGTCGAGATATTCAGTTACTACGAGAAATTCTTGTCAAAATCAGCTAGTTTTTGGAACTTTTTGTAGAAACACTACTTTCATTATTGTGGAGCTTCTTTTTATTCAGATTTTGACTTTTATTCAACATAAGCACTTCATTAGTGACAAAAAATAACTTTAAAAGATTTATCGCAGCGATGTGGTAAGCACTTTATAAATACTTCCAATGAACACTTTTCGATGAATTTTTGAGCTTTTTTTCTCTCGATCAATAATATTAATTCATCAAATGAAACTGCGCAAAGGAAAATCTCAATTATTACTCACCTTGGAAAGACTTTCTAGGTTTCATTTAGCTCTCTTTCTGAAGAACAAATCTAGCTAATCTCAGCTTTTGACTGAAAAACTTATTTTACCGGAAGATTCTTACTAAAACTAATGTGTCCTATGTGAACTGAACTCGATTAAATATCAAGCACCAAATGCACGCTATAAGATGAAATATAACCTATCATAAAGTTTCAAGAAACTAATATAGTAGACCTTCCAAATCACATAATAAGATTCTGATCAAGTATGTATCCAAGTCATGCTTAGATCAAGAAGAAAGACTAACAAAAACTAAGTATATTAGGATAGTCGATCTGAAAAAAGCCTGACTGATAAAATAAGTCGCATTTCTCAATGAAATAGTCTATATTAAATGGTGTTAAATAATGCTTTAAGATAGGCAAATCGTCATGAAAAGTTTCGAAAACATCAAAATGGTTTTCAACCAGGCTTCTATTCATAAAATCTTGAGTTAAACAGATGTGCAAAATAAAGAGGAAACTATTGATTGCGACGCCGTATAAAGCAAGCATGGCCCTATTACTCCTTGAAAATTGTCTCGATATTCACCACCAGACTTTTCGATATTGGAACTGGAGGGATAGACTAATGATATCGGTTAATTTCGGCTTGTTAGCCTCCAAAGCGTTATAGAAAAACTGAGCAGATCCGAATGATGAACAATGTTCAATTTCTTAAAAAAGACACATTCTTCTAACCAAAGCATCATTAAAAGTTTATAATCAATCATAGTTTGGTTGAAAGATAACTTGTTTATTAATACAAGAGTATCTCTGAACTACTTAATAAGAAAATGAGTTTGAAACCATAAATTCTTTTCAAATAGGTTCAAGACTTTTAACTATTTTTAACACAATATTTTTCAAGAAGGATTCATACTGCAGTTTTCCAATCAGGATGACTGTACAATTTTCACTATTAGCAAACTAAATTTTCCATTATATTTTTCCTCTGGTAGTATTTCTAAACCTCTCATAATGATGACCCGACACACAGCAAGATGTACTTTTTAGCTGCAGGAGAAAGTTGACAAACCTGTACTGTAGTCATTCACAATATTGTCACCAGCCTTGTCGAGATATATAGGTATCAATGAAAGTATGATTGCGGCCACTACCACAAGTAAAAATACACAAAGGCATATTCCAGCCGCCAAGGGGGCTAATAAAGTAAACCATCCGCTAAAATAAAAACCGAGAAAAGATGTATCATTAATTTATCGATGACATAAAACGAAAGCAGTGTTGAAGTTAAGCTGATGAGGTTAGATTTTTGAGTGAAAAACATATATTCGGCTGCGACTATGGCCATTTTATCATTCCTGGCGAGTAATGTAAATCCCTAACTTGATTACAATGTATACGCCTTTGATATTGAGCTACAAATTCCATTTTACTGATTTCTTGCACGGTTCTAAAGTATTTCGAAAAATGCGAGTAAAGCGTTTTTAATATATAAGCTTGCAAATGAATAGATCTCTTAATTACCAGAATATCGTAAGACATACAGATCAAATGTATGTTTTCATGTTGAGATATTGAATTGTCTAAAAATTTGGTTTCCTTAAAAAACTAATACTTCAAAGAAGCATTTGTTAGGACTAAAACTTGTGAAAAACTCTGGCAACAATGATACCTGTTTATGCTCAAAATTTCAGGCTAAAAACACGACATTCGATCTCATCTGTAAAGCCCTAAAACAGTTTCAAGAATTGGCTAAAGCAATATGCATTAAACAACCTTAAAGATTCTGTCACTTAGCCGAAGTTACAACATTATACAACTGAAGATAAACAATTTACTGACTACAATATCAGTTCAAAAGCAAGTTCGTACTTGGACATTTTTCCTGGTGATCAGTAGTCAATGAGCATGTTAGCTGTAGTGTTGGCAAGCGAAGTATCGATAAACTTACGGTCGCTCCATTGTACCAATATTTTATTTATGTAATGTTGTTATTGACAACTATTCCGATATTAAACGATTCACTATTGTCAGAAACACTGGAATCAAAGTTGTAAGCTTGACTTCTAAAAAGTATGATTCAAAATGTGGAATAAATGTTGCATTGGCTTGAAAAAGTTGAACTGTTAATTTCAGAACTGAACTATCATAAACAATAGTAGTATTCACTGAGCTATATTTTCTTTGTGCGGTCCTTTACACTATGGTTAGACGATATCTATGTATCGAATAGTTCAAGCTAAAACTCTGTATCAGTATTTGATCTGTCTTTTTCATTGTTTCCTCCCTATGGTCAAAACAACTTTTTGAAGAATTTCTTCTTTGATTCTCCTCAAGAATATATAAAGAGCAGCCATTTTTACATAGCAAATGGAAAAATCAGAATAAAACTGCTATAAAACTATAAAACTGCAACATGCTACAATTTCTAAATGGCTTTCTCAAAAGATTCCGACCCCTTTTTTTGTAGTTCTACAAATTAAAGACATTCTAAAATAAGTTGTTTGCATAACTTAGAGATTGTTCTTTTTTTCCCGTCACTAATTGTAAAGTTAGTTTCTATGAAGTTTCGTTTTAATCCAAGAAGGAAGTTTTTCAAGTGTATCGTAAATGGAGCAATTTTGTTACTTTTATTCCTCATTCATTATAATAAAAAAACGTACCAAAAGTCTTACTTTTTGCTACCATATGTCATTCATATCTCTTTAAATTTAAAGCGAAATTAGCGTAAACGATTTATTATTGACTGATGTTTGAAAAATTTCTTGATCGTATCAAAAATATCGATTGGAAAATCCACTTTTTATAAAATTCAATAAGAAATCTTATATTTATCCTATAATAAACATTGTGATACGAGACAAAGTGGATTGTGGGTGAATGATAAAGGCTTCCAACTCTATAAGATTACTCCCACATTTATTCAGGGTTTCGCACTATGTACTAAATAAGGAAACACAAAACTTTTTTCTTCTGTCTGTTAATGTGGCTATGTGGAAGCTCCCGACATGGTTTTCTATTCAAAGACTCAGAATCAACATTCAAAATAAAATGCTCCTATATTTTACTGAAGATAATTCAATCGCAATCTTTTGAGAAGTAGCTCACATCTTAAACGATGAAAACTGAAAGAGATATTCGCAACATGCTAACATGAATATTTTATCTAGATACCTTGACAGTAAAGCGACAGCATGAATGGGTCATACGAATCAAACCACACAATTTCCTGTTCTATTTATCAGTTTGAGTTACGCTTACAGTCAACTACTCAATATCGCTGTCAGTAGTAATTCAGGTACGACTCCCAGTGTCTATGCCGCTTTCAGTCAGGGTTGTGATTTCACTATCAGTGTGGTCACGGTTCCAGCCAAGGTCCCTACACCGCTGCTAGTTGGGATGAAGGTTTCAGCCTCAGTTCCCATGGCACTCTCAGTTGAGGTCACGGTTTCTGTCGCCACCTTGATG